GGGGCTCAGTGGTAGAGCACTCGCCTGGCATGTGTGAGGCACTGGGTTCAATTCTCAGCAGTGCATATAAATAAATAAAATAAAGGTCTATCAACAACTAAAAAAATGTTAAAAGAAAGAGTTGACCAATTTGTTCATTGTGTCTGTCCTACTCCTTCTCTCCTTGGCTGTATTTGTTATCTCCCTAAACTACCCATTAAGTTAGTGAAATCCACAAGGTGATTGTGATTTGGGCAACATACTTCTTAGATGAAATAAAACAAAAACAAAATCCCCCAGCAACTAGATAGCTAAACCATGAACTCCAACATTCAAAAGGTTGGGGAAACTCAACAACTTCAAGACCTGAATGCTATTAGCATCTTCATAGCGGAAATCAATAGAGCATCTGAGGGACCCAAGTCAGCTTGACAGAGTCACCAGGTGTGCACAGGAAAGCACAGCAAGACATTTTGAACAGGGCTGGGGATGTGGCTCAAGCGGTAGCGTGCATGGTCTGGCATGCGTGCGGCCCAGGTTCGATCCTCCGTACCACATACAAACAAAGATGTTGTGCCCGCCGAGAACAAAAAAAATAAAAATATTAAAATTCTCTCTCTCTCTTTAAAAAAAAAAATAAGAAAGCTGACTGACTCTGTAAAAGATGGATTAAAAAAAAAAAAAAAGACATTTTGAACAGGTGGGACAGGGAAGGTGGAAGCCAGGAGACTGCAATAACACTGAAGGGGCCACTGCAGTCTGGCCACTGTGAACTCAAAACTGAACCTGTGAGGCTCCCTTTCAAGTCAGGGCCCAGCAGAGGAAAAGTGTTGGGGCTGAAATCAAGGTGGGTAGTACAAGGGCAATAGGGACGAAGAGGGAAAGAGAAGGTTCAGATTAGAGTTAAGTTGCTGAGAGGGCAGAGCCAGGAAATCTTGGAAAGTAAGCCACCATGTGCGTGCTCATGCGTGTGTGTGTGTGATTATATATGTAATGCTATATATGTTGTATATATTAATATGTGTGTGTGTGTGTGTGTGTGTATAAAATGCAGCGGGGATGGAAACCAGGGCTTCACTCATTCCTGGCACAAATAAGCACTCTACCACTAAACTATGTCCCAGCCCAAGCCACCATATTTTTTAACACACACACACACACCCCGTTATTGGTGCTATCAAGTTAGAAAAGCACTTTGACTCAATCTTCTCTCTAAAAGTTTAGGAAAACTAAAGTTATATATAATTAAACATCAGAAACATTGGGGTCGAATGTTTAAACTTATTAAAAAAAAACAAACAAGAGTAAGCAGCACTGGGTTTGATTCTCAGCACCATACATAAATAAATAAAATGAAGGTCCATCAACAACTAAAAAAAAATTTTTTAAAAAAGAGTAAGAAACAGGATAACATCCCTATAAGCAATGACAAAGAATGAAACTTTTACCCCAAAGAATAAAAGCTCACAAAAGTTGTAATGTACCATTTCAAGACAGGTTAAAAGACAACAGACAATGACATGATATGAAAACAACCAACACAAAATTAGAAAAACTCAGGGATGAGGTGACAAAATGAAAGAAGGAATTAGAAATAAAAGACAATTTCAGAAATGAGGAGTAAAGTAGAAGGAATGAAGAGGAAGTGAAAGGAAGAAAATTTCAAAACAGTTTTGCAAAAAGATGTCAAAAGAATTTGTGAGAAAAAAAGAAAGTGACAAATTTTGGAAATTAAGAGAAGAAGACACAAGATATAGATAACAGAAGAGGAAAATCAATACAAGGAACAAAAATAACTATTAAAAACCCTGCACTCAAGCAATGTTTTCAAAAGCTGGAAAGAAAAAGATTCGAAAACATATTGAAGACCTATCTTGTGTGGCTGAGAATATTGACCCAGAATCGTCAGCTTCAGGACATACTGCCTGACAATTATTGGTCTTGCCCAACAGCAAAGCAAATTGTAGTAAAATGACTAGCCTTAAAAAAAAAGAAAGAAAGAAAACCTGAGACTTAATGGGAAAGAAAATCTTCAGCAGATTTCATCTGGATCCCATCATCTCAGGTCTGCTCTATTTGGGCTCCTTTCTAGCTTCTACTAATTTTGCTGCTAATGACTCTCTTTCCATTTTATTGCCCTTTTAGATATGTGCCTTTTAAAAACAACACTTTTATTATTGCAAGGAAAGAATAGAACAGTTAAGTTCCACCCACCATCTTTATCCAAAAATCTTAACTTTTTAAATAAATTTTATTTTGGTATAATTCATATACAGCAAGGCACATCCATTTAAAATAAGCAATTTGGTTAGTTTAGATAGAATTATATACTGAAAAACCTCCTAAGAATTTCCATGAGCCCCAAAAGATTCCTTGTGACCCCATTGGCCATTCATCTCCCACTCCTATTCTCCAACCACTGATATCCTTTTTATCACTACAGATTACTTTGTAACTCTGTAATTTTGCACAAATGGTATCAAACAATATATACTTTCGGGGCCGGGGGCGGGGGGGAATGGCCTCTTTATTACAACATCATAATGATCTTGATATTCAGACATGTTGTTGCATGTACCAGTAGTTCATTTCTTTATATTACTGAGTAGTATTCCATTGTGTAGATATACCACAATTTGTTTAACCATTCTTCTTTTGAAGCACATTTGGTCATATCCAGTTTGGGTTATTGTGACTAATGTTGTTGTAAACATTTGTGTATCAGTCTTTGCAAGGACCTTTTCATTAGTTATTAATTTCAATAATTTTTTATTATTGAAAAAATGCCAGGAATTGAACTCAGGGATGCTCAACCACTGAGCCACAACTTATAACTTATAAAAACAAAACAAAACAAAACAAAAACCAAGAGTAAGAAGCACTGGGTTCGATTCTCAGCACCACACATAAATAAATAAAATGAAGGTCTTATTATATTATTATAATTTCATTATTTAATATTAATATTATATTTTCATTATTTAATCTTTTACTTTAGTTTTTTCACAAAGGAAAATGCTGGTAATTTTGACCAGATCAAAATTCTGTACAAGATACCATAAGCAGCTTAGAAGCAGCCGTGGTCTTTACAAGGACACACGTACAGCATAAAACTAATAAATTATTTGTACACAGAACATGTAAAAACATAGAACATAAAACATAGGGCATCAAAAAAAAAAAAAAAACACAAAACTACAAACACCCCAACAGAAAATTGGGCAAAGGCTACGAGTAGGCAAAGCTTAACTTGAACTTGTGATCCTTTCTCCTCAGCCTCCCAAGCCACTGGGATTACAGGGTTGTGCCACTGCACCTGGCTCATTTTAGTGATTTTAAGAGATGATTTTGGTAGCCTCTTGCTGGATCTTGCTGTCTCTAGCCTCACCCTGCACTAATACAGCCTACACATTGCTTCTAGAACATTCTTCCAAAGGCACATCTCTGATCCTGTCAGACCCTCAATGGTAGTTCATAGTCTGTAAGTAAAGGTCAGATTCTTAGTTGCCAAGAGCATCCATGTTTCTTTCTATATCACTTAATAAACACTTGGCACCTTTCCTCTGTCTCCACAAATCCCACTCTCCTGCATGTTGCCTTTTCCTGGACCCTCTGCCTGTTGTTTCAGAAAGCCTCCCCATTGGATGCTCTGCACCTGATGTTTAAGAAGGTGTAGAAAAAGGACCATTTTCTCCTTGAAGTTCAAGGTGGCTCTCTGACCCTCCTCTAGTTTCCTGTCACCCTTTGTGTGCCCCTCATGGACCCAGTGCTTTTGCACAGAGGAGAATGCCTCCTGTTAAATAGTTGAGTGAGTGTGGTTATGAGTCTGTGTCTGGGACACATTCAGCAGATCGTGGTCTGACCCTGTGATGTTGGTATATACCATAAAACGTGTGAGTCATCCGGTAACATAAAGGTAATAGCATTTAAAATATTAAACCATTTTATGAAATATTTCTAAAATGAGTTTCAAATACCTCTGCTTTCTTACCCAGACTTAGAAGCTAATTTGGACCTTTTCATGGGTCAGGGTACTCACCATAATCATCAAGAATAGGTGTGCTCTGTCCGTGGGGCGGTTGAGGGTGCAGAGCTTTTACCCCACCCCTCACCCCACCAAACGCCCCTCTGTAGCTGGGCTTATATACTTTGATTTCCTTTCTCCTCGGGCTGTCAGTTCTTGCTGCACGGTGCCTGGTTGCTGCCACCTGCCCTATAGAGAGAGTAGACATCACATTCTCAAAGGTGGGGACCTTTGAGATTTCTTTGAGAGAAATCTCAAAGGATTTCTCTTAATGAAATCATTCCAGACCCCATGTGTAGGATTGCTCATCAAAGGTTGTTTGTTAGCATGCATAGATTATATCCCAAATGAGGAAAAGGAGGCCCAAAAAGGAGTGAGCTAGTTGGGAGCAGAACAAAGACCAGAACCTAAATTCCCCAATCTGGACCCCAGGACTTCCCTTCCCCAACAACTTATTTTCAGAAAGTAGAAACACACAGTGGTACTCAGGTTCATGGCTACCTTTTGAGCAGCTGAGTTTCTGGAAGCATAGCTGACAGATTGATATGTTTTACTACATAAATATTCATTAACTGGGTCTTCTGTTGAAATTTTGAGAGAGACCAAAAAGTATACCAGCAGCTGGAAGGGAGAAAGGGGGGCCAGTTCCGGGTTTGCTCCTGTCCCCAGAGAAGTCAGCCAGTGAAAGTCAGACAGTGAAACTAAGCCATCGCAAATGTGGCCTCAGCCTCCAGAGCTGCACACCAGTGCTGCTGGGTTGGTTCTCTGCTCTGGGCACATTTTCAGGTTAAGAACGATAAAAATTCCAGTAAGGCTAAACTTTATAAAGAGCTGCCCCTTTTGTGCAGACCCTGCTGGTTGCCCAACCAATGTCCATTGCCCATCTCTTTCTTAACTCACACAACCCTGGTTTTATCTGGAATGCCAAGACGACTTAAAACACATGATCTCCCAGCCTTCCTTGCAGCAAGATGGCCATTGACATTTCTTTTTTTTTTTTTTATTTCATCTCTCTTTATTGTAAAAACATTATGATATTAATTAAATTCCAGGAGGTTCTGGGCTGGTCTTTTTTGGTCTCTAGTGCTTTAGGTGAGGCAGTAGTAGGAGCTACTGTGTGACAGTCAAAGGCCTATGTCAAACCATGGGTATATCCCCAGGTGTGACAGAGCATGGGCTCTGTCTCTTACAAAGAATGGAGGTGAAAACAAACTGCTCTGAGAAGACAATTGAGCAAGAGGTTCTAGTACCAGAAGTATCTGGTGGGAAAGTGGAGAAGGTGAAGGACGGGGATCTTCCACTCCTTTCCTTTCTGCTATTATGGAAGGGTAGAGGCACATGACCCAGAAAAGGGCCAAAGAAGGTAGTAACTACTTGGATCCCATTAGCGGTTGGACCACTCCAGGGCTGGTCAAATGGCATTGTCGGGGGGGGGGGGGGGGAATGCTGGCCATAAGAATGGAGACAAACTTTTCCAGTTTCTGTGCAGCTTGTTTTCCAGTCTCTAATACTTCCTCATGAGTTGTCTTTTCCAGGCTTTCATAATCCATGATGACCTTGTTAGTGATAAGGGAGAAGCCAAAGACTCGAAGTCCACAGTGCCATGCAACTATAACTTCTGGTACTGTGCTCATGCCAACAGCATCTGCCCCCAGCTGCTGCAGCAGGTGACTCTCTGCCACAGTCTCAAAGCTGGGGCCTGCCACCATCACATAGGTGCCTTCCTGTAGCTCTCGATTCTCTCCCATTAGTTTCCAGGTACTGAGAGCCTTCTCCCTCATGTTCCGGTCATAAGCATCAGACATGGCAGGGAAACGAACTCCAAACCTTTCATCATTAGGCCCTTTGAGAGGGTTCTGACCACCCAAACCAGGTAGGTTGATGTGATCACGAATCAGCATGATATCTCCAACCTGGAAATTAGGGTTGAGCCCTCCAGCTGCATTGGTGACCACCAAGGTGTCCACACCCAGAAGCCGGAAAACCCTCACAGGGAATGTCACCTTCCAGAGGGGGTAGCCTTCATATGTGTGGAATCTGCCTTGCATCATTACACAGGCCTTGTCATTCAGGAACCCAAACACCAGTCGACCAGCATGACCTGGCACTGTGCTTTGGGGAAAGTTGGGTATCTCACTATAGTCAAAGAACTGGGCCTCAGTTAATTTATTGGTCAGGCCCCCTAAGCCAGAACCACAGATCACTGCCACTTGAGGTCGGTGCTTGGTACGAGAGAGAAGCCATTCTGTGGTCTTCTGATAATCTTCATATGTGAATTCGTTCTCCATGGAGCTGCCGACTCCCTGCCAAAGATCCTGCCGGTCTTCGCTGGCTCTGCTCGGTTGAGCTGCGTGGCCATTGCGGTAGCCGAGTCTGGTCCGCACAGTTCGCCATTGACATTTCTGACCAATGAGATGTGAAAGTGTCTCGGACAGGGCAAAACTCATGAGGATGCTTAAGTAAGGGGAAAGTGTACCGATTCTGTAATTTATGTTGAAACGTCTCTGACAATTGATGATGGATAGCTGGACAGATGTGTGATTCAACAGATATGTCGAAATATTAATAGAATCCAGGTGTTGGGTATACAAATGTTTCCTATAAATTACTTTCAACTATACGTTTAAGATATTGTGAAAATAAAGTGTTAGGAAATACAGCTGCTGTGGAAAAGGCATTTTGGCCCTTTTGCCCTTCATCCTTCTCCTCCTGCAAGTCTGGAAATTGCTGCACCCATCTTGTGGCTATGGAGGCTGTTTGGGCTTGCACAGGACATGTGACACAAGAATTCAGAGGATGTAAGTCCTTCTTGCATTTATTTTTTTTTGGGGGGGGTGTGTGTGGGGCAGTACCAGGATTTGAATGCAGGGGCACTCGACCACTGAGCTACATCCCCAGCCCTATTTTGTATTTTATTTAGAGACAGGATCTCACTGAATCACTTAGTGCCTCTCTTTTTGCTGAGGCTGGCTTTGAACTTGCGATCCTCCTGTCTCAGCCTCCTGAGATGCTGGGATTACAGGCATGCATCACCGCCCTGGCTCCTTCTTGCATTCTTTAGGTGGTCACACCAGGAATTTCCTTCTAGACGGCTTGCTGCATGAAGTAAATGGATCCTTATAGGTTTGCAACAGCATTGGCTAGGTTTTCTCATATTCTTGGAAACTTTCGAAAAAGATACTTGTTTGAAAAGTTTTAAAGACAGGGTGTATAATAGAGACCATCCCAGATTACTTTTCCGAGTGATTTTTGCAATTAATTTGTTACAATGTCTCTTCTGATGCATAGCCTACAAATTTTGCTCTCATTAGATGGACTTTGAGAGCAGTGGCCGGATTTCCAAGGGAAGTTCTATACTCCTCGGCAGATGCTATGGCTGCACTTGGCAGGCTGTGGGTCAGAGATATGTCAATTCCACTCTTCAGAGAAGCAGCCTCAATCAGGCAGCCAGAGAGTTGTTACTATGGAAGAAGACTACAGACAGGATGTCCAGGCTCTGTACAGCACAATCTGGCTTGTGTTCAAGGGGCTAAGCCAAAGCAGAATGCAAAATTGAAGTTATGAATCTCAAAGACTAACCCTGGGAATTAGGGACTTCCTGAACAGAGTTTAAAGTGAAATTGCCCTCCTGGGGGATCCCAACATATTGTCAACCATGGACTAATATCTAACTTTACAAATAGAACTCCCAAAGTATGGTCTAGTATCTTCTCTTGTGAAAAAATATATCACATTCAGAGTTCTCCTAGCCGGGCACTGAGGTGCACGCCTGTAATCCCAGCAGCTCAGGAGGCTGAGACAGGAGGATCACAAGTTCAAAGCCAGCCTCAGGAACTTAATAAGACCCTCTCTGAATATAAAAAAGGACAAGGGAATGGCTCAGTGGTTGAACACCCCTGGGTTCAAGACCCACCCCTCACCCCCTGCCAAAAAAAAAAAAAAAAGAGTTCTCCTATTTTAAAATATATGTTTAATAAACTATATTTAACAAAACATAGCACGTGGTTTCTAGCATATTTTCTAGAAACGGTTCAGCAAAGCATTTTCTCTGTCTTCCCCGGCCGGTTTTCCCCATCTGCTCTTTTTCAGTTCTGTGTCTCTAGAAGCTTCACCCCAGGGACAGAGCTCTCAGGGCCTTTCCTTTCCCAGTGCTGTTGGAGGCAAATACTCCAACCTGGGAATGCTGCAGAGCCCTCTGCACCTCCCCGGCCCCCTCCTCACCGAGACAGACGCTCTTCATGGGAAGTTTGGGGTCAGGAGTGCAAGGGCTTCTGCAGCTTGTCAGGTGTGGCTTGGCTCAGGGCCTGCTCTCACAGCTGGGGGACATGCTTCCCTCCTCGGGCCTCTGGAGCTATGGGCACTTCCAACATCACTATCTGTGCCTGCTCGTGACCCAGAAGAGGCCTTGTGTCTGGACCTTGATGCTCTGGGAAGAACAGCCTAGAGTAGGAGTGACAGTGTGGGTCTCATCAGGTGACCCTGCTACTCTCTGTAACTCCCTGGTCTCGCCAGTGACCCACGCTGAAGATGAACTGGGTTCAAAAGAGCTGGCTGCACCATTAAGCTAAGAAAACAGCGAGAAAGCACCGGACACAGAAGTCATTTTCATATCAAGGCAGGATGGCTCTGCGACCTTAAGGGTCAGCTTCCACCCTGGAAGGCGCTGGAAAAGAGAGCGTGCACCCGGAATCTCTTTATTTTTATGGGGGGGACACACAAAGGAGTTTCCATAGGATGTTCTTCACCAAATAAGACAAGGGATAAGGTTTCAGGGGAGGGGGGTTTGTCCAATCCCATCGAGTAACACCCAAGCCCAGGGCTAGAGCAATCTTCTCTGCGGAGCAAAGGTGAAGGTCACTGCTTTGCACAGCATGTGGCATGTGATGCCAGACCAACACCCCCTTTACTCAAGACTGAGAGGGGATGCTTAGCTCATGGGCAGGCGGCCTCCCACACCCCAGGTTTCTGGGCTATGGGGCCTATAGAACAGCTACTACCATGTTCCCTACTTGCCTGTATGGGTCTCTAAGCATGGCTCTGTCCCCAAGCCAGAAGGCTCTTGGATATGCCACCCTGGATGCTGGTGGGCATGTGTGGGGAGAGCCCTGCCAGATCCTCTGGGGACTGGCCAGATAGGAAGCTGCAGAGTAATAGCAGCTTTCTGCGTCAGGAGCCTGCCCGCCAGCCCAGACCAGGCTGCCCATCGCCTAGTGGACATCTGCTTTTCCCCTTCTGTAATGGCTTGGATGTGAGGCATCTCCCAAAAGCTCACGTGTGAGACAATGCAAGAAGGTTTGGAGGAGAAATGATTGGGTTATAGACTCATCCTAATCAGTGAATTGATCCCTGGTGGGATTAACTGAGTGGTAACTGGAGGCAGGTGGGTGTGGCTGGAGGGGTGGTTCACTGGGGGCGTGGCCATGGGGTATATATTTTGTGTGTGGCGAGGGGAGTCGCTCTGCTTCCTGATCATCCTGTGAGCCGCTGTCTTCCCACTCTTCCCCCGTGATGTCCTGCCTCATCTGGAGCCCTGAGGAGTGGAGCCTGCTGTCTGGGGAGTGAGACCTCTGAAACCGTGAGCTCCTAAAACCTTTTCCTCCTCTACAGTTGTTCTGGTTGGTCTTTTGGTTGCAGCAGTGAAAAGGCTGCGGAAGAAGACACCTTCTTACAAGAGGCCCAGGGGCTTTGCCTGCTCCTGCTGATCTTCCTCCAGGAATCCATCCCCGATTTTACGTCCTGACGGGGTGTCCCCTTCTGGGTACCCTCATGGTCTTGCACCCCTCTGTTACAAACCTTGGCATCTCTGCCATCCTTCCTTGCTTGGTCTCTGTCCCACTCACTGGAACGCAGCTCTGGAAGGACAGCCTGCGGCCTGCTCTGTGTCTCCAGCCTGGTACGGGGCAGGGTGTCCAGGTGGGGCTCCTCAAGGTGTGTGCAGAGCCCGCCTGGGAGAAGTGCAGTGCAGGTGAGCTTGACGTGTGACTGTCACTCCAGGCCTCACAGCCTGGCTGCAAAGGCCCTTCCAAAAAGAAGGCATGATATGGATTGAGTGACAGGTTGGTGAACTTCCCAAGTGAACTGTGCTTTTGAATGGAATTGTGCTCCTAGGAATGAGAATATTTTAAGAAAAAAATGAAATAGTCTTGTTGAATCAGCCAAACTCCACATGAAGGCAGCTGATGAAACATTGGGGTTTGGGCTTTTTTCTTGCAGTTTGAGTCTGGATTTTTCCCCCCCTTTTCTGTAGTTGCCTCTTTTTGCTTTGTTCAAAGGCCAGGGAAAGCAGACGGGTGACACAGATGTCATGGAGCACCTCTGTGCTTTTACTACTTCTGAATTAAAAAACAAAAACAAAATAAATTTTAAAAAATCCTTCTGGGAGTATACTGCAAAATATTCATTCTGCAAAGTATTTTATTTTACATGAAAAACAAAAATGGAGGAATAGAGAATACCTAATTAGATACCTGCTAAATGTGCCAGACCGACTGAGTACTTACCATGGACTGTTCTAGACCCTTAAAAATTTGCATGATTTATTTAGTGTTCACAGGGGGTCTGTGAGGCAGGTGTTTTAATTTTGCAGACAGGTGAATCGAGATGCTAAGATGCATGAAGGGATCTGAGGGAGGTTAAGTTAGAGAACAGCTCCCAGCTGGTGGAAGGTGGCGAAATCAGCCTTCAGATTTGGTTCCTCGTTCCTGTTTTTTCCACTCTGTGGCAGAAATGTTCAACCCTGATGCCAAAGCAGTCTAGAGCCTACAGATCCAACTCTGAACACCTGAGAGCTGATGTCAAATGAGCGACCCTCATTGGTGCTCAGAGGACACTGTAAGAAAAAGGACTTGCTTCCGCTCTTTTTATTTGGTGCACTGTGGCATTGCCTGTCATCTTAGTGTTAAAACAGACACCAAATACACTACAGCACACCCCAAATCGGGAAGGGTATCTTAAGTCACTTTCTGAGTACAGTTGAGCTTTGGGAAATCATGGTTTGTTGTAATAATCTAAAAAAGGCACATGGGTTTATGTGTGATTTATGGATGCTCCAGAAAGTCTTGGAGTTTGGGTGGAGGTTATTCCCAGAAATCTAGCTCAAAGGCCCTGGACTGACTCTTCAGTGACAGTCCTGCTCTGTGTGTGTCCATGTATGCTTGTGCATATGCCTCTGTGTGTGAGAACGTGTGCACATGCATCTGTGGGAGAGGGAGAGGTGGAAAGTAAAGGTGAAACCTATTTTCCCAGAGTCATGGTATGGTGCTCGGTGCTCAGAGCCCTTCCCTGCCCACAGCATTCAGTGGGGGGCCTCTTGACTTGCAGGTGCTTTGAATAGGTATTCCTTGATGAATTAAGTAACATGCTTACAATTCTGCAATGCCTTGAACAG